GGGGTCGCAAAGTCAGCTTCCGTTTTCATTCCGCCTGGCATAGAAGGCAACGGCGGTGGTGACGACATGGTTTGGCGGTGGTGGCGAGAAGAGATGGCGCCTCGGGCGGGACGGGGAGCAGCCAAAAATTATCCTAAAAAGTGGTGTCGGTCAAGTATATTTGAGAAAGTTAGGCTCCCTTCTGGAATAACTCATTAACATTTTGCTCCTCTAAACCTCCTAAACCTAGCATACCACGCAGATGACAAACTTTATTAACTTTCTGATGCGTTTCACACAAAACACCAACTTGCTTGTAATTGAATCTGCCCACACGGATTCAAGTCCTACACTTGCACAGATGATCATATTTTCTTGAATTTATTGCACGCTTTCCATCACTATTCTTTCAACAGTATGGTGTGCCCCTCAAATATGACGTGTACAAGGCGACTTTGCAATATAAAGATCTGTGTCAGTTTTTTGAAGGTGTTCATATGGATATGGTGTGCGTGTATGTTTGTTTCTAAAAAGAAATAAAAATAACACTGACATAAGCACGCAAAATAAAATGAGAACAGAGAAGGCGCCGCGCCCAAATTGACGTTTAATGCTCGCATCCGCATTTGGTCGAGGATGCGATGGATACCTTTTTTTTTTTTTACGAAATACCACGGACCGAACCAAGGACGCGACGCTGGATCGTCGATCAAAAACTGATCGGACGATCGGCAGTCGCCGCAGCGCGTTCACACCACACCCTATTCGTTTCCCACGCCACACCACTCCTCCCCGTTCCTCTTCTTCCCTCCCCACTCCCGCCGCTCGTTTCAAACCCTCCTCGCGACCCCAGCCGCGATGGCCGCCGCTATCGCCGGCGACGCCGAAACCGACCTGACCCTGGCCGTCTCGGGTGACCTCGATGACAACGGTTTCCCCGCGTCACCCCCCACCGCAGCCACCAGCAGCAGCTTCGCCGACGACTTCTACCGCAGCGGCATCGACTGGTCCTCCCTGCAAGTCCCTCCTTCTCATCGGAGGAGGCCAGCCGCTGGAACAACAGAGACAGTTTGCGGACCGTTGGTTCAGAAGAATCTCTTCCAGGCGTGGGGGATCGAGAAGCCAGCCGCTGGAATGGCGCAGAAAGTTTGCGGCCCGCCGGTTCAGAAGAACCTCTTCCAGGCGTGGGGAATCCAGAAGCCGCCGCGGGAAGAGGCGGCGCAGGGGCCCCCTGTTGGGGCTCGGGCCTCCTCCTCCTCTCCTTCTCCTTCTGGTGCTTGGCCCGGTAGGAAGCGGCGCTGGGGAGGCTCGGACGAGAACGGGGCGTCCAGGAAGCCCGTCGCTTGCCCCTTCTACAAGGAGATTCCCGGTAATTCTGGCACTCACGGTTGGGATTATGGCCGCGTATTTGCGTCACTAAGATCCATTGATGAGCTGCTGTAGTGATTTAATTAGTTTACTGCTACCATATTGAAAACTAACCATGCTTGATGTCACTGATTTGTTCTTTTCATGCATCTTTAAATTGGATCTAGGTACGCCGTTCACGGTGGACGCATTTCGGTATGGAGCAGTTGAGGGGTGCTCTGCTTATTTTCTCAGCCATTTCCATTATGATCATTACGGTGGGTTAACCAAGAACTGGTGTCATGGTCCTATCTATTGTACTGCACTCACTGCACGCCTGGTGAAGATGTTACTGTCAATTGACTCTGCGTAAGGCTTCATTTTTCGGAGTGTTTGATGATGACCTCCCCTATTCTCTACCACCAACAACAGCAGCAGTAGTACCAACTACTGAGTGGCAAATTGATGTTTGCAGGTATGTTTGTCCCTTGGAGCTTGATACTGAGTATGTCATCAACGGAATGAAGGTTACCTTCTTGGAGGCCAATCATTGCCCTGGTGCAGCCCTAATTCACTTTTGTCTTAGTGATGGCAAGACCTATCTCCACACTGGGGATTTTAGAGCATCAAAATCAATGCAATTGCACCCACTCCTCCAAACTGGCCGCATAAGTTTGCTTTATCTGGATACAACATATTGCAATCCAAAATACAAGTCAGCTCACAACCTTGAAATTAAGCATTTCCTCTATAATGTTTACTTTGCTAACCTGATAGCTGTTTCAGATTTCCACCACAGGAGGATGTTATTGATTTTGTTGTCAGGACAGCTCAAAGGTATCTAAAGAAGCAACCAAAAACACTTATTGTTGTTGGGGCATATAGCATCGGGAAAGAGAATGTCTATCTAGCAATTTCTCAAGCTTTAGAGGTACTATATAGCTGGGATTTCACTATTTATTGCTGTCTTTCTTGCCAAGTAGTACTCATTCCGTCCGGAAATACTTGTCATCAAAATGGATAAAAGGGGATGTATCTAGACGTATTTTAGTTCTAGATACATCTCCATTTATCCATTTTGATGACAAGTATTTTCGGACGGAGGGAGTATTTCCTAATGCTGTGCTGTCTGAAATGGCCATGAGCGTCTTTTAGTTCTCAGATACTCCCTCCATTTACTTATACAAGGCCACTATGGAATATACATTTTGCATCTATATAAGGCCACCAATAGTAATCGAGGCAAAAATTTATGATATTTCCTCGGACTAGTAACCTGTTCAAAACTTGCATGCATGCATGCAGTCATAATGACACTCAGCTCTTCCTCCACTCAGTTTTCTTGCATGCATGTGGTGTATTAATGATCCTAGTAAACGAAAAGAAAAGCTAACTTGCAAAGCATGTATTAAATTTTATCCTGGTACCTGTAATATGAGATTGTGGCCTTGTATATAAAAATTGAGGGAGTAAGACATTTTTGTATATTCTTTAAAGGTCCCTATATACACTGATGCATCACGAAGGCGGATTCTTCATTCATTTGGCTGGCCAGACTTGTCCAAAAGGATAAGTTCATGCAATCAAAGTTCACCACTTCATGTTCTGCCCCTTGCATCACTGCAACATGAGGTTGGAAATGAATATCTGATTAAATTAAATTTTGTGGCTTACTGGCTTTATCTAGTAACATCTCTCACCAGAAAGTAGCTTTTAATAGAACTTGAAGAAGTACTTGGAGACTCTTGACCAAAGATTTCTAGCTGTGCTGGCTTTTCGACCTACAGGTTAATGATCTTTAGGAGATAAATTCTGTATTCCATAATTTGTGATTGCATAATTCTTAGTTCTCTTTCCTAATCTTTTATCAGGTTGGACTTTTTCTGAGGCAGCTGGAAAGGAGCTTGACTTAATTAAACCTAGCTCTAGAGGCAGAGTTACAATCTATGGTAGGATTTGTTAGAGCTGATAATGTATTTTCCGTCCGTGTTTGCTTTATTAATGTGAAGGTAGGTAACCACCAAATTCATTTTCAGAAATTAAACCAAATCTTATGCACCCTATGTCAGGCCGTCCTACATGGATTATGTGTTTTGTTGAACTTTAAAATGAACCATCCTTTTAAACCAGAAGCTGAACCGTATAAAAAGCATATGTGGTTCAAATTCAGATTTTTAACTGTAATATGATGATTAACCTCATTCTTGTCCAATCCGTGTCAGGCGTACATGTTCAGCATTTCCAAACTGGCATACATTTTCCGCTCCTTTATGAGTTCTGTTAAAGTAATTTCTTCTCCCTCTAGGTGTACCTTATAGCGAGCACTCAAGTTTCAGCGAGCTTAGGGACTTTTTGAAGGTAAATCCCCAAACTGTTGTTACATTGTTAGTCTTTGCTGCGATGTTTTCTAACTATAGGATAATATTTTTCTGGTTAGTTTCTGAGACCTCAAAAGGTAATTCCCACTGTTAATGTTGGTAATGCGGCAAACCGAGATAAAATGCAAGCTTATTTCCGGGAATGGCTCAAGGGCACGTGATGGATGGAGGCATGAAGCGTGATCAGTTATGTAAGCCTCATATGTGGAATTTTCAGTGTGGTGTCTGTTGTACGCCTTCCAACATTTAACAGTCTAATAATGCTTTGTATCTTCGTGAATTTTTCTGTGGAGAATATTTTCTACTCCCTCCGTCCTAAAATAAGTGTCTCAAGTTTAGTATAACTTTGTACTAACGTTAGTACAAAGTTGACACTTATTTTGGACAGAGGGAGTATATACTTTAACAGATGCCTTATTTATGTCCCAGCGGCACCGTGATGGTACATGAAGATCAACCAAAACCTTTAGAGGATTATGCCTTTTTATTCTTTTCTGTGCTGAAAAGATATGTTTGAAGAGGTGCCATTTCTCTCCACATTTTGTAAAGGCATGCATTTTTTTTTGCAAGGAAACACTAAAGCTTGTCTTGATGCATTGATAGAAATAGAAGTTTTTTTTGTACAAGCCTAAGAATAGGGATCACAACCCCAGCAGATGATGCTACACCTGACACCCCTGAGCACTAAGCTCTGCCAGTAGTGACACCTGAAGCCCTGGTACTGGCCCACAAACTGTCGTCTGCCTGTATTGTGTCGCAACAGCTTTGTGAGTGACATTGAGCCTCTCTGTTGAAGATGGCAGCGTTTTGTTGCTTCCGGATCCAGTATGCTGTGAGCATTGTCATTTGAGGCATGTATTTTACTGAAGCAGATAAAAATGTATTCGACTGAAGGATAACATTTGAGAGGCAACTCTGTTTTTTGTTGCTCACATGTCGCTTGTCATTGAAGTCATAACATTCCAGACTCTGGTTATTAATTATTTGTTCAATCAAATACATGTTGTGCACTCTCTATTCCAGCATCCACAATTATAATTTTGCACTGAACTTTATTCTTATTGAATGCAATACCAGATTTCTGTAAAGCCACACTGGCCGTGTCAGTTTTGTTTCAGCTCAGTTTTCAGAATTTCATGAAATCATCTTCTAGCCATAATTTGACTTAAATAGTAAAGGTTTATATTGTAGTACATGTTATTGAAGGAACTTCAGTCGATAACATAAGCTGAAACTATTTGTTGTAAGTAAACTATTGTGCTTATGAATCCCAAATGGGTCTATAGATTCATGAGACTACTGATGGTAGGAGTAGATATCTTGCTCAGATTTCTGCTGCTCATTTGAATAGCTTAATGCCATTTCCCCATTGTAGGTGTCATCGTGCATCTCGGCATTACCATGGCCTCCTAAACCTAGAAAGTCTTGCGTTAGTCCCACATCTCTAACCCCAAAAATGGTCTCATGCGCATTTTGCTGCATATGATCCTCATCAACCATGCTAGAGCTTCTATTTTCTGCCCCCATTGAAAATGGCGGTAGCCCGATCCAAGGCACTGCATTAGGAGGTCTCATGCAGCTACCAGTCCATGGCGAGTTCATGTAGGAGCTGTTGTCTTCAGCAGTCTTCTTTCTATCACTATTGGCTATCGGTGTCCCTAGGATGCCAGAAGATATTCCAATGTGACCTTTGGTGGTGAAATAGTTCGGGAAACCTTTCAGAAGCAATGGCGTGGTAGGATCTTCACTGGTCTTTGCTCCCATCTCTGCTGCTTTCTGTAGCAGGGCTGTGGCTGACATGTATGGAGAGCTCATGGACATGTAAGGAGAGCTTGGTTCACTCCCATCTGCTAGAGTGCCAGAATCGTGTGGTAATATCATCTGGTTGGAGAACAATGAAGTGGACCTTCGGATGAAAGTATAAGGTGATAAAGACCCCAGATGGTCGTCTGAACTCTGGTCATTACCAGAGAAGTTTCCGGCTGCATCAGTTGGGGAAGAGTCTGCACCAGGTATCGTGTGCGGAAAGATGCTCTGCTGTTGACCATGCAAACTTCCCACCATGGCAGCAAGGCTTTGGTTGATTCTGGAGTTATCTTCAGTTAGTGCATCACAGAAGGCTCGGTGTGTGATGAAGCTGTCCTTTCTGTAACAATATCGTAACGGAAAGAAATGTTAGTTTGTAAATATCGGCATTTCAGATGGTTACACTTGTGATTGTTCATTCATGTGGTGTAGATTGCCTGGAGAAGGCAGGGAAATGTTTTTCTACTAGGATTTCCAGGTTATTGTGTTTGAAATTCACTCTGAAACAAGAACAACTTGGCAAAATATCATGTAACACTTGGAAACAAAGATATTCTTTGACAAAACTAAAAAAATGTGGCAAGGATATTCAGGTGAAACGGATGGTGGATCTAAGCACGCTAGGTAGCATGCATGGCAGAAAATAAACTATATATGATTCAATCCTATGTTGCACCAAGTGTGGGAAATTGATGCTGGCTTGTTTTGTTTTTGTAATTGAATTTCTAGCCTGTGAACACACGGTTCTTTTAGGTCAAAGGATTTTTGAAAGAATTTCATAGGATTCTAATCCACATGAAATTTTCCTTTAGGTTCATCTGATCGAAAGGAATGAATCCTCCCAAATTCCTATGGATTGCTTTTGTACACTACATTTCCATAGGATTCCTAGCAAGAGGTTAGATTGCATGGAAAATTCCTTTGAGTCTATGACAACTATGGTATCCACTCAAATCTCTAGAAAATTAGTGTTTTCCAAATGGTGAAACCAAATAACCCTAATACTAAATCCCCTGTGCTTTTGATTTCTGTAGGATTTGAAATGCCATGACATCCTATTCCTATGATTTTCCTATTCCCTTGCTTTTTGAATACTGCAAACCAAAGAGGCCCTCAGGGGTATTGAATATCACATTTGGAGCTGTCATAATCAACAATTAATCCAGCTGAAATATCTATTTGTTGAAATACCAGACAACTCCAGGATTTAAGAGCCTGTTGTGCATTATAGTTCTTGATTGATGAGAAAAATACCTTGAGAATATTGTTCCGCAATCACAGCGGTACTCCTTGGTGCCACATATCTTCGTGTGTGCTCTCCAGTCCGATTGGACTGCATATTTCTTAGAGCATCTTTCACACTTCCATTTCTTCTCGCCATGCTTCCGTGAGTAGTGCTTCTTTATCCCTGTTAGATCACCCAAAGCACGGGTTGCATCATGGTGAGGGCAGGTGGCTTCAGGGCAAATATACACCTTCTTCTTAGCGTCGGTGCCACTTGTCTGCTTGAGCTTCCATGGTAAGTTGTGACACCTCCTGTGGAGTTGAAGGTTTTGGTCTCTCTGGAAACCCTTATGGCAGACTTCACATATATATCTGTTTGTTGCCAATAATGTCTTGGGTGAGAATGCAACTACTTCTGCATCTGGATCTGCACAATGAACAAGATGAACAGATGGGTGATGTTAACAGATTGTTGCTCCCGTCCGCATCCTACTTTCATCCGTCATTTCACTCAACAACAAACTGTTTGAATGCTATGTGTTTGATTAATTGCTGCATGGCTTAGAGCTATTTATTACCCGTGAAATAAATTAATTAGCCCTGGGGTGAATCATGACAGGATTGGACTGTAAAAACAATAGTTCAGCAGTGAAAATAGGTTGTTTACAAGTGATTGTTCAGACTCACTAATATCATAATCTGTCTTTATACGTACGTTTCTAATCAACTTGATATTATGACAGCATTCTATCATCTTTATATGAGAACCACTCCATGTTGGCAGAGTTAAAGTTTATACTTGGATTATGCCTGGATCCATCTTTCGTGCCATCATGTTTTTGCCTTTGTGGTAGTTGAAAGCATGGGTTGAACTCATAAACACTGAAATAATATATGCTACAACTGTTACCTTACCTGGTTGGCCAGGATGACCTCGTCTCTTTTTCCCTGCATGGATGATGGGGTCGCTTTTGCTCAGTGCTGCTTCACAGAGTGCCAGCTTCTGTTGCTGCTGGAAGTTGAATAGAGACTCTTCCTCAGATGTCTGAGACATTGTTTGGTAGCTCAGTTTCTGGTGTTGGGAATGTACTCGAAGAGAGGAGAGCGCTGATTTAAGCATGAGGGAATGGAATAGGAGAGGTCAATTTCTTTTCTGTCAACATCGGTAACTGTAGCTTCACCATTATTTGCCATTAAACAGCCAAATATATATTTTGTTTCCTCGATTATTTTATATTATTGTTATCTCGTTGATTGATCTAATAGTTTTTGAGACCACTGGAACATCTGGAGGGTCATATTAACATTAGGAAGATATTAACTTTCATGTCACTTTTTTACAGGTTAGAAGCTGTACACATTATAAATACCGACAAGAGAGGATCAAGCGCATCAGGCACCTTACTCTGGGAGGGTATAAACTTACTAGCCTGTCATTGTCGACGTGAATTCTGTGACGTGTATGTATATTATATCTAGGAGACAATGTCACAATCAAACGAAGGAACTGATGGAGGATCAAGAGTAGATTATGCTTAAAAGTGCAGGCATGAGACGGCGGAAGGGTAATGACAATGGAGAGATCCGCTAGATGTGACAAACGCTGGCCACATTTTTTAGTCGTTGTCCTTCGTATGAACCCTGTGTCCTGATACAATTGGTTTTACTTAACTACCTGGCACAATGTTTCAGTAATAAGGAAGAAAATTGATGGTTATGGGGTTGGATATTGCTGTGTAGCTCATCTAGGATTCGCCACAAACCACTAAGAGTCACATTTCGTTGGTTTTACAAGGCCAATTACTTGCATTTGTGTTAACTGAGTTACAAAAATATCATTTTCATTAAAAAAAAACGTGCTTGAAATCTTTCCTTTCCTTTCCTTTTCCTATTTAGATGTATCTCCTGTCGAACATAAAGATCACTAGTGTAGCATACTTTGTGGATATGTTCAGAAGCTCCGGAATTCGTGCTGTCCGGGCGCTTGTTGGAATGGAAACGTATGTTTGAACTTGGAGCTTGTTGGAATGGAAATGTATGTTTAAACTCGGCATGCGATGATTCCAGAGAACCGAAAGCTGGGGGCATTTTGGTCGCGTGGTGGAGCTTTCTGATGGGCGGTTTCCCCGAGAGAGCACCGAGAGCGACACCCCGATCTCTTTGGCTCCTTGTGTGCGAGCCTGCAGCCAGGGCTGAACCAAGAACAGGTAACAGGTACTCCAACAGTATTCACCAAACGGCCATGCTCAAATGTCCGGATGTGTCCATGGACAGCGGACACCGGCCGTCCAACTTTGTATCCAAAATTTCATATTTATTCGCCCCTTATCCAATGAAGAGAGAAGAGATAGAGGCAAAAAAAAAAAGGATTTCTAGTAGGGTTTGAGGCTGCGTTACCGCTGTCCGTGGACAGTCCAGACCCCTCTAGAGCTGTGCACTGTGCTTGATTTGTGGATAATCTAGGGGGATTCCGGAAGTTCGGACAATTAAGTAATAGCGTTGGAGACCTAAAAGTGTCCGGACTATTTGGTCCCTACATATAGGGAAGATTTGATGAGCCGTGTTGGAGATGCATTTAGTAGGCCAAAATCACTGTCTCTCTCTCAAAATTGTGTCTGATCAGAAAGATTAATCACGTCTTTTACTCATCGAAAACAAGAGACCATATCAATTTTCAAGCTCCATGGCTTAAGTTCTCTCCCGTTATGAAAGAACTAGTTTTTTTTTTTGCGAAGAAGAACTAGATTTTGTTACCTAGAAGAAAGAAAGAAAAGGTTAAAATCAGCTAGCACAGCTTGTGCTGCACCCCTGAAACCTCATGTAACTGAACATTGTTGCACTATCACATTTGCTATAGCTAGCTTAAAATCTCACAGTGTGTAAGATCGGTTTGGGGTCTTTAGACGGACGCATGTGCATGTTACTTACTCATATTCACACTCTATTTCTTTTCTAGGGGATGGAGAGAGAGGAGAAGAAAAATATTTTCTATTCCTTGTAGCTTGGTTTTAGTGCTATTACCCATTTTTTTGAAGTTTAAGACCTTCCTCTGAAATATTTGCAACAGGGTCTTAAGGTTATTTCATTGCTTAAGACCTATATGTTTCACACACTGGAGACACCCTAATTTGTTGAACAATAAACAACACTAATCTGGTCTTTAATAGTTTTTTGTTGAACACCTCATGGTTGATGTATTATCACATAAAAAGAAGAAGACCGCACATCAGCTACAACGCCCTCGCTAGCCTAGCAGTTCGATTATTACAAGTTTAGTTAGCTGGTGTTCATCCATGCAACCATTCGACCTGATAAAATCCAAGACTAACTGCCTCTAAACAAGTTTGGGGTGCATTTAGCCAAAACTTACCCTCCCAAGTTTGTGACCTAGCATGATTGGTTTACCACCAATATTTGGCTAGCCAAATGTTGGCATTGCCAAATTTTAGCAATACCAATACTTGCCAAATATTGAGAACTTTATGTGAGATAGGCAAGATAACCAGGTAACCAACCAATTAGTAGCCAATATTTAGCACAATGCCAAACATTGGCATTGCCAATTTTTGTCACCAAACCAATTATGCTCGAAATTGGTCTATCTTTGGTTGGTTGCTATTTTTTTGGCATGCCAATGGCTGAATGGTCATTATTGTTTATGTTTTTTTTATCAATGCTGACCAACTAATGGGCAAGAAAATAGTTAGTCAATTTTGACTAGCAATTTGTCCCTCCGTTCCATTACATAAGGTGTATTTGTTTTTTAATAAAATTTCAGAATTTAACGTGCATTTCTTCTAATTCCTCATAATTCCCTTGTTAGCCCTACAGAAAAAAGGAAAGTATATCCTCCTGATTGTCTGTATCTTTTCTTGTAGGAGAAGAAGGACATTATCTTTGTGTTGATTGCATGTATCTCTTACTTTTCAGGACTAACCAATTTACTTGCCACTAACGAACAAATTTGTCAAGGGTAATTTCGTCCTAACTTGTCTATAATATGTGCCTTGGTTACCGTGCCAAAAATAATACAC